CCCCCCCCCCCCCCCCCCCCCCCCCCCCCTCCCCTCTCCTCGGGTCTCGTATCTTCTCCCCGAACGGCGTGTCGCGCTCGCCGCACCTGATCGCGCGCTATGAAAGGACAGATTTGAATTCTTAGTGGGAGGACACGACAGTCGCCGAGGAACCCCCGCCGCTGGCCGTTGGAATTCGCGGAAAAGTTCCGCCACCCCCTTCCTCCATGAGCGAAGTCAAGTTCTGCCAATTAATACTAGTGCTCACATCCTGCCACCTGTACTCCTACCGGATTTGAAGGCTCTGTTTCCACAAAAAATGGGTTATGAATTTCCAGTCAGGCACACACAAACGCACACACACATACACACAATCATGACAATCTGCACAATTGTCCAGCCTAATCTGATTTAGGCTGGGTGACAGTAGACACTTGCGAAAATTCAGCAATAATGGAAAACAAAAACATCACCGAAAGGGTACTATCCAAAGAAAATTATTCATATATTTCCAAGCTTTGAGGCTAGGGAGACAATGTTATGATTCTGCCCTATACGGTTTCATAGAAAAAGAAAGCGATTTGCTAACCTCAAGGTTATATTTGCGTAACTTTGCTAGGCTCACTGCATTTTTATGGAATTTTGTCCCGCAGATGGACATGGCAAAACATTTGCCCATAGGGGCTGTCCGACCTTTTGAACAGGACTATCAAACCCGTTTGATTCCAAACAGACTGATGCCGGCATCATGAACGGTGGTTTCTGCAATCATGATTGGCGAATAATTCAGGTACCGTTTTTGAATAATGGTAAGCAAGTGCTGGTGCGGAATAGTATATCGGTGACGAAATAAGCGAAAAACTCAGGAGCATTAGCAAAATATAAGGCCTTTAAGACTCGATATTTCACAGAGTTTTACAAAACGATGACGATTAAGAAGTTCTGCAAGAGATTGTGTTACTGCTAAAATTGCCTCCCTTGACTCACAATCAGACTGATTGCATCCATTGTCTCGATGTCAATATTAGCGTCGGTCGATCACTATTCCCCAAACTATGACTATTGGTGCAATTTATGACTTCTGACTGTGAAAATGGGTGTTCTACCCAGTTCTTTTTCGTATAAGGTATTTTTTTGCGGTTTCATGTTTCCCGTAATTGTTCAGCAGCCTGCATTGGAAGCGACTTTGCCTTTTACAGGGTGCTTTTTGGCGTGACTCATTCAAATGTTATGTGCTATTCGGAGATTGAACCATTGCATACGCCCAAGGACGACCAGCTGTTTGGATATTCAATATATGCGCTCGATCACAAATATTGCAGGCTCCTAGATCTTCAAAACACGACTCGTGGGTGTTATCCACAACGCTACCGGTCTTTGAGCTCCTACCAACCCCATTCTAGGTGGTTTTTGTAGTCAACAGCTTTCCGTGTGGCACCGTTGATCACGAATTCGTTCCAGGTGGAGACTTCAAAAAGAACTTCGGTGATTCGAACAGCAGAGACTTCTAAGCTCAGCGGTCACGGTCCACCGAGTCACACTAATGCTTTTCCAGAGAAGAGTGTTCCAACGTAATCTGCCATCAAAATCAAAATTTGTGAGCGCAGTCGAAGATGGATCAGTAAGGAATAAAAAAGCTACAAATTTTGGTTTGTTACGCGAGCAAAGTTTTGGCGTTTTTGGCTATACCGTCGAGTTCGTCACAACTTCTCACTCATTTGAACTATAAAGTATAGTTAGGATGAGGAAACCATAAGTACACTCAATCAGCTCAGCTAATCTTCTATTTGTGTGATTGCGGCGAAGGTGACCGACTGCGACAACATCTGGCCTCTAGCAAAAACGATTACTCATACTCGAAAAGCTCAATTCTAGTTTCCGGGTGCGCATCCATGAACGTCTCCGATACAAACCGTTGAAACTGTATGACTGTGTTTCAATTGATTTTTCATAAGCACTGATACTTCAAGGTGATGAATCCTACAAGAATATACAGGACATAACCCAATTTGTCGGAATCCATAACTTATTGATTTTGTGAGCAGTCAAAGATGTGATCGCATAACGGAGATCGTTTCATAATTGTGGAGCAGACCAACCTTTTCTTATCAACTCGGTCACTTTCGGCATGTCGACAAGTGTGGCCATTGCCCAGCTGACCCCGTGAAGTTTTCGCTTCGTCAGCACGACTATCGAAATGTTCAGTATCACCAGTATGGCAAAGGGGACAAAGATGTGCAACACCTGTAATAGGAGCATTTACTGAGAGAGGCACATCACTGAAAGCAAATGAACGTGATAGAGAACTCTTACGGTCATCACGTAGAAGTTGAATATTTGATAATGTTCCCAGCCGGCCAGTAAAGGTACGTAGTCATAGCTCTGAAACGGATACGGATAAGGCGGATAGGAAAAGAACAAACGCAGTTTCCTTGAGCGCACACTTTTTCGACTCCCTAACCGTTTCATATACCATGTGAGTGTGTGAGTCTATCAACTACGTCGTGAATTCTTTGCTCTATGCCAGCGTTCAACGCGACCGCAACTTTTAAATTATTTTTGAAATTGCACTGTCTTGCAAACCCATCCATAGTGACAAGCAGTGAGAACAGTCAAGCGCAAAAGGAATAAGGAATGTTGCGCCTCTGATAATAGAATGCTTATTCATACCTAGCGTTCGACTTTTACGATAGTCTCGATAGTGGTTTCTAACTTTTTGAGTGCAACTTGACGACTATGAAAACTGATGCTGAATGTTAAGCATTTTAAGTTCGAGCAAGAATGTGAATTCCGCTGTTTGTTTGTTATGAGTAGATATTAAACTAGCCTTGAGAGATTCATTGTCTCGTCAGACTGATCTCAAGCCGCACTCAGTTTGAAGTGTTCTCTTCTGTCTCAGTCTCACAGGGTAGTGTTGTAATCATTGAGAGAAATTCAGGCTGTAGTTAGTTAAGGCTCCGCAGGAATCTCAAGCTTTTTTTGTTAGAAGTCAGTAATACTCTCATGTGTGGCTCTCAATGACGATACACGATGTAACCGAATACACGGTTACGCTGTTATATCAAAGGTCATAACATACTCAGGGTCTGCAAAACCGTCGCAATAATTCAAATCTGACAAAACTGCTGAGAGGAGCTCGACACGAGTGATAACAGCTTTCTTACAATGGTGTTTTGCCATCAACTGTTGAAGTTATCAGTGAGAATTGGCATAAACTTTGCAGTGACATTCTTCCCCTCCACAGATTCTTCAAGACATCACATCTCAGTATTTTATAGCCTGAACAAGCATCCGGCTGAAATCCGTCACTCGCCCTGAACCATTTTGGGCACATCCCTCTCTGCCATCTACCCAAAACCAACGTTTGTGATTTTTCGGCTTCGTGAATAAACCCAGCCACTACCCCTTTTCAAGAGCGTTGTATGACATGTCCATTGGGTACTGAATGTTAGTGTAAGCATCACTACGGTTCTGTACTTTGGATTCTACATGAAGTGCGAATGCACACATAATTTTGACACTATTCAATTTTCCAAACATATTTCGTTCGTTGTTCGCAGCAAGTCTTTTGAGCTCTGTTGGGGCAAGAGAACGTACGTTGCGCACATCCGTCGGAACTGGATAACCGCACCCACTTCGTTCGCGAAGCAGTCCTTTGCGATCACGTTACAGTGTAAGTGTAAGTGGAGCAAATGATTTGCACGGGTCCGTGTTATCTTCGTTTTTAAGATTATTGTGTGGACCAAGCGCAAATCGTATGTCCCGCTGACAACTGCGACGTCCGTCAAGAATCGTGGGCGTAGTGATTAGAGAACGCTGTGTGGCAGCAGGAGCGTCGGCAGTTTAGAGGTCTTGATCAAGAAGCACATGACCAGATCATCGATTCGTAAGAAAGCTAGGCAGCTCGAAACGGCGTTTGCGATTGAGAAGAAGCGGCCAACACCGATTTGACAGTCTGGTAGGATCAAGCAAGCAACAAGGAGCATATCCTTTCATGTGGTCTTCATCGTCGGCGATTTTACCGCTAGGATTGGGCCCAGAGGAAATTAATAATGGAAGTCATGCAGTAGAGTGGAATGAGCAGGGAGGAAAACTTTCAGCATTCATCATGCGGTTCCATTACACTACTCATTCTTGTGATTTGTAGTGGAAGAAGCATTTTATTCGCATTCCACTTGAGAGCCACCTACATAGTAGACAGCTCCATGGTGAAATAGATCATATAATCATCGGAATATCGCTATTGTTCTGAATTTCTGCATGAGATTCATGCGTCGTGTCCTTCAGGCTGGATCCTGATTTGCAATGAGTGAAGAGAGAGATCTGCAACGTTCACAAGACAAAGCCCCAACACTGTCATTGAAAAGGAACACTTTGCTTCTATTGAAAGTTTTTGGGAAGATTCCCATATAGCCAACGTCGATGAGAAATAAGTACACCGACTGGTTGAGCATCCTCACGATAGTGCTAGGAAAGGAAATGTACAAGTCGCTGGGAGAAGCTTCTTGTGAAGACTCTCACACTGATCCATCGGCGTTGAATTGCGCATGCCACAGACAATCATCAGATAAAGCGCGATGCCAAGCTATGCAGAAAAGTGATAAAATATGATCGCTAATCGAATAAAATGCAGCAGTTTTTGTCGAAGCCGCCGAGATCGAAAACAGTACGAAGAGCCGTCCTGAGCTTCGCCATTACAAGACCAATATGGCTTTTATTTGTCGTCCTGACCGAACAGCTTTTGCATCCACCTCGAAGGGCAATTGATATGGTCATCTACGTACATATGGATTCTCGACAGCAATGTTTGCCTGCCTAATTGCTACCTCTCAAAGGTTGGGTATGTCACTCCTTCGCTCGCTCCTCCATCCAAATTCGACATGCTATCACGTCTGTGGAAATTCGCGGTGACCGATTCCGAGATTACTGCACTAGAATATCTAGATAACCTGCGGGAATTCTCGAACGATTATGGTCACTTCGTACCTCGACGCGAGCCGATCTTGATTAGGTGTGAAAACCCCATGGTCGTTACGGTGTATATAGTACATCGTCACGCTGTACATACATAGTTATTAGATTGAGCGCTAGTAAAAAATCCGTAACCGAAAAAAATCAAAACACTGCGAGGGAAAGTTGCTTGTGAACTATGTAGAAGAGCTTGAATAACACTGGGTGGGAGCTTTATTTTCCTGAAGATGATTAAATTGAAATGTACGCCAATTGGGGAGTTTGTATTTGTGCATGAACGTGTCGCACTAGTTGGAAATAAAGCCGTTAACCAATAATATTAAAGTTTTCGCAGTCTACGAACATTTAGTTTTTCCTTATACTTCAAAGTCTCGCTGTTGCTACACTCTTCAATGCTACACTACACTCACGATGAAATGTAACACACGCAGAGTGCCGTTGTGTCCTACGTTCATCGAATTCAAGAAGTTCTTTGATACCGCCGAAGTAAAAGGGTTATTGGAGCTTTGGACAGTTAGGGTGTCCTACTCAATATATAAAAA